CGGAGGAGGCAGAATAGCAGAGCTGCTACCAAACGACGGTTTATACACCGAGCCATAAGTCCGTCGAGGTAAAAGGACTTGCAAATCATGAATGTATAGAAGGTAGAAAGTAGAAGCCGAAGGTGGAAGAAGAAGGAGGCAGGCAAAGCCGGGAGGTTCTGACGGGGTGGCGCAGGGTTGGAATATTACCAGGGGCCCCAGCTTCAGCAGGAGAGAACCATCCATTTAAAATGTCTCCCTTAAATCTCCAACACCAACGGCAGCCGCTACCAGCGGCACCCCCTGCCGACTTTCAGTGGCCACCCTCCTACAACCTCACCGCCTCCCTCATCCACGTCCTCTACGATCCAGCCCCGTGCCGCCCCTCACTTTTATATCCACCTAAATCCATCCATTTTAAATGACGGATATTTTCTCCGAGCGACTGTATGGATTTTTATATTTTCCATGGCGAAAGGACGCGGAGAGTCGTCTGCGTAGAAGGAATGGATCTTGGAAAGACGGGGGTGGGAGGAGGGTGAAAAGCCAGTGAAAAGGGATGTTAAAGGACGAGGACGGTAGGTAGTCGGTGAATCGAGCCAGAAATTGCCCCGCGACTTATTCCCCTTACCCCTTCGTTCTGTACAGACTGCTTTTACCTGAAAGTAATATTTTTTAAATAATCCCCTCTATAAATAAAAAAGACAACACCCAGACCACGATCCTTGCAATTAATTACGACAAGCCCACAGTACACGTAGATTTCTCGAAGTACGATGGTCCTGGTGGACGAAAAAAAAAAAGGAAATTCCCTGGGCACAAGGGTTGAAACGCAAAGGCAAACTTTTAAATTTGATGAGGCACCACTTCGTGCCAGACGACAATGATGAACGAGCGGTTGATCGCGCGACGAAAGGTAGGAAGATTGTAGACGGCAAATTAACCTGGTCCCAACGTTCTCCAAGAGATTGCGCCTTCCAAGCCTGATAAAAAAAACGTGCACGCGTTGCTTTGCACATTCGTATCCCATTCACCTGTGCACTTTAGCACGCGGTTCGCCGATGGCAATGGATTTCAAGATTGGAGGATCAGCGCGAAGAGTGACGCGTGGTACCAAGTGCGGAAGAGCAAAAGAACACAGGGGCCAAGAATAATCCAAACAATGGAGGAAGATAGATAGAACGGACAATGCGCAGGAGCACGAGAGGTCACGTGCGTCAGAATGTCAGTTATAACCTTAAGATACGGAAGACAACGGTGGCGAAGGTGGCGAAGGTGGCGAAGGTGGGGAAGGCGGGGAAGGCGGGGAAGACGGGGAAGGTGGGGCAAGCAGACGACATGTATTATTGATGTACCAGTGTCGCCAACCTCTCTCTACTCCTTGCTTCAACCTCGAACCTCCAGCCTCGTTCTGCTTCTCCCAGTCTCCTCGGTTCGTGTAGCGATTCCCCGTCCCGCCACCCCCTGCCACAACTACGAGCTCTGTTATACCACCTCCAACGCCTCCGCCGCCTCCGCCACCTCCACCACCTCCATCTCGCCCATCTTGCCATCCCTGAAAACACCCACGCCCGACTCCGTCGTCTTCCAGTTTCCGATACATTCCGTCGCGAATCCCACCCTATGCTTCTCCTACTCTGTAGTGGCTGCTCTCCTCTCGTTTCCTCCTGACCCCCCCGCCGCCCTCTAGTTCTCTTTCGAAGCCACAGCACGTAGCCACTTGCGTTCGTGGATCGACAGGCAGGTAACAGCTAGGTGGCTGCGATTCTGCCATTAGAAAAATCCCGGCATTTTCAAACTTTTGTAATATGAAAAAAAAAAAGTATATATATATGCATGTCACTACGTACATATATATGCACGTGAAGGAATGAGGAGGGTGGGCAGGGAGCAGAAACAGAATTCATATAGAGCGAATATGGGTGAAATACGTATACGTATAAGTATAGCATCGATCGTAGGAAAAGGCCCTGATAACGGGGGTAGCGGTGTGAGTTGAGGATCCTCCTGCTATAGACACAAGGGGTTGCTGCTTTCCACCTCCGGAGGTCCACGGCAATTATTGCAAGTCGACTGCATTATACAGTCGGGCAGCTACGAATGGACGCCGCGAATTCACGGCTCGGATCGCGAGCGTACGCTATCTTCCATTAATCTCGCGGCCGCAGGAATTAGCATAATTGACGGAGCGTAGAATGGCGCGGTTCTACTCGGAACGGCCATCTTGTATAATCCATCGATATATCTCTCTCAGTGTTTTCCGATAAACCACACACGTCCACGCCAAGGACTCCTTTGCTTCCTCGCTCTTCACCCCTTTCTGGCGCTCTTGCTTATACTTTCCCCCGTTTACCCTTTACTGTTGAAATTTACATTAGCTTTTTCTCTATTCGCGTGAGATTAGAAATACGAGTTATTGGGTCAATTTGGAAATAAGTCCTATATGGATACCCGAAAGGTAGTACAGTACCTATACGAAGTCACGTGTCAAGGCAGAATGAAAACGATCGAAAAGGTGACTTTCCAAGAGGGAGGGATGGTTCCGAGGAACGCAAGGTTCTTCACGTAAACTTCCAACTAAACTCAATTAAAAAGACATTACCGGGGCGAATGGCAAAACATTGCGTCGATCCGAAATCATCTGTATTCATGACGGAAGGGAAACTTTAAATTGGCCCGATTACGTAAAAATGTCCACGTGCCTACCTAGGGTACCGATCGATGAGATTGATCGTCATCATTCGAGTGATTCGATCTGCCCCAAAACCACGGAGTCCGGTCAAAGTACAGTCTCCTCCACTCGATAGGCACCGTCGTAATGGACAGTAGTGTTAATTAAAAAAAAAAAAAAAAAAAAAAAAAA